ATCTAACAGAAAGACGGTCAGCTTGACGATCAATAAAGGATCTCATTTCGCTACCCATAACACCATCAACTGTCAAACACAGTGGAGTGAAACTACAGTGGTTGGACTCACAGGCTGCAACATATTTTCTTTTCTTGTCATTCTCTGCAGTAGCTAAGACAGCTTGAGGGGTCCTGTTAGCATAAGAGGGGGAATCAGAATCGACTACTGGGACATCAAACATGGCAGTACACTGCCTCTGCCAGACACCACGAGCAGCCATATCAGCAACAAGACCCTCTGAGTTAGTAGTCATGTTTGGTTCTTGTATAATGGGCTCTCTCACAACATTGCTCCACAAAATAGATGACAAGTCACACAAAAGGTCACGAATCTCATTATGTCTCAGAGACACAAGTCCTCCCTTTCTGCAATCGAGAGCATGAACAGTAGAGAAGGGGGCCCCACAACCATCACATAGGGGAGGTAGACTGACCAAAGGCTTCAGGTATCTCATACAAATAGCATCTCTGAATTCCTGAGAGGATAGATTGAAGTTATCTTTCTGGACAGGTAAGGCACACAACCAGTGTGACAGAGAATCTCTAGACCGTAAGATTGCTCTCTGATGTCTAGCATCAAAAAGACTTAGGGCTTCTTTGAAGTAAGTCTCATTCCTCTCATTCTGAGTAGCGATATGATCCAGCCTAGACTGAGTGACACATAGATAGTGATCAGTGGTACTGAAGGGTGACTGCTTAATAATGGACTCCATAAGAAGCCTGACAGCGTTTCTCGATGCAGAGTAGGCTTGGTCAGCTGTTTTTGTAGGATCTTTAATATTCAGCCCACCCATACGTATAGGGAGAGAGTAGAGAAAACGATCATGAGAGCCACATGCATGACTAGTGAGTGAAGGTAGAAAATGAGTGCACAAAGCTTGTTCTAGGTCACTAAACAGATCACCACAGTCAGGGGTAACTCTTTGCAAAAATATCCACTCCGACTGTAACAACTTGGTGAGAGCAATGTACGCAGCCTGAGGCTGATCAACAGCTATAGAAGAGAGAAGAGAAACATAATTAGACCAAGCAGACACACGGGATGAAACAAATGATTCTATACCAGCTCTGTTACCAATCACTCCACCAAGATACCTGCCACACTGAACTATAGACACACCAGAGCCATCAAAGGACTGCTCAGCAGATGGTAGAGTAGTGTCCTTCACAATTAGAGAACTTTTTGAAGGTTCAGGAAAATAACCAAACAGAGGACCAATAGACAGCAGTTTGTCAAACCAGTTCCTTATAACAGACACATCTCCTATGACAGTAGAGTCATCAGCAAACCATAACTGTCACCACATAGCAGGAGCCTCTAGTTGTCTGAAGAGGGGAATTGCAGCCACACAGTAAGCAAACATAGACAAGGGATCACCCTGAACAACACCCTCACGACTGTAAATGATGTTATCAGAACCTCTCACGATAAGTGGAGACCAGCCCCTGTACGTGTTAAAAATAAAGCGAGAGGCTCTGGGCCATAGGATACGGATGTTCCAAATAAGTGATATCCTATTTATAGAATTGAATGCATTGGATGTATCCATTGTTAGACTGCCATAGTCATTTGAGTGAAACAGATCAGATACTGAATGGATAGCTCCCTCTATACCACAACGAACTCCTGCACAGAGCTGAACAGAGCCACAGACAGATTCCGCATCGTCTCGTGTGACCAGGCAGATGGACTTACCAATCACACGGCGAAGAGTCTCTCCAACACCTATGGGTCTGACCCCAGGACTTTTGTCCAGAGCAATCAGTCTACTTGCGAGTAGAGCACGTAAGAGAGACCAGTCAAGTACTGAATTAGCGAGACAACGGGATAGATTGGCAACACAGTCACAGAGACGGCGGCTAGCAGGCCCATAACGGAGGAGAATATCTTGCCAGTGAGCTGCATCACAACCACCTGGACCGGCACTGCCCTGAATACGGAGAGCCACTTGATGGACATGGTTACCAGTGATATCTAGATCTTCCAAGTCAGGCAGATCTCCAGTGTCCAATAGAGAGAATGAGTGAGGTAGTCTGGGAGAAGGGTGTTTCATCTGAAGAGCATCAATAACACTAGTCAACTTATCCTGCCCATTATCTTGGATTTTTACATTGTCATGAGGATGAAGAACATGTCCCTTGGACCTTTCGGTAAGGAAGCGTATGGCTGATCTGATTTTACCTTGTAACATTAGGCGGGTGAAGACTTTAGTGTTGTGATTGGGATTGTTTCGGATGGCGAGATCGAGTTTTAAAATGTTTATCACAACGTAGAGCCTCCTGGACCAAGAGATCAAACCTATCCTCCTCCCACATGGACAATCTACGATCAAGGGTTCTCCGAATGTCAGCACTAATACGAACCGACCTGTCTCTCTGTAGAATGACAGAGCTAAATACAATAAGACGGTCTGAAGGGTAGTTGCCACAGGACAGATGATTGAGTTCATTACAGAGTAGGTTAATATAACGGCGCCCACAAGACCCTCTCGGAAGGTCATAGTGTTTACCTGAAAGTTGAGAGATGGTCATCCACCTATCAGACCAAGGACAGTCACCAGGAGTAGGGACTGTCTCCCGCGATAGAGTAGAACCAAAGGCTCTGTCCATCAGTGAGGCTACTTCGTTATCAGTGAGATAGTGAGCATCCTTTGTTACAGGGGGATCGGGAGACTTCATGGATGAAAGCTGTGTTAAGGGAGACCCACCACGCGACGAATGGCTGACAGGGGTACTGGGTGGCTCAGCTCTGTCAAGATCCGGCGGTGTAGGGACCGAATTGGCTGGTGCCTGTCTGTTCCGACAGGTTCCACGACGGCCAGCAAGACAGGAGGTACAAAGAGTTTTGTTCTTAACACAGGAGCACCTGACATAGCGAGAACTTCTACCATTGCAGGGGCAGCAAACGGACGCCATTATTATTATTATTATTATTATTATTATTATTATTTTTATTATTATTATTATTATTACTATTATTGTTGTTATTATTATGAGAGTGAGAAAGGAATATTATTATTATTATTTTTATTTTTATTTTTATTTATTATTATTATTATTATTATTATTAATATTATTATTATTACTATTATCATTATTATTATTACTATTATTGTTATTTTTATGAGAGTCAGAAAGGAATATTATTATTATTATTATTATTATTATTTATTTATTATTATTTTATTATTAATATTATTGTTATTATTATTAAGAGGGTGCGAAAGGAATATTGTTGATATTATTATTATTATTATTATTATTATTATTATTATTATTATTATTATTATTTTTATTGTTAATTTTATGAGAGTGAGAAAGGAATATTTTTATTATTATTATTATTGTAACATTGCTATTATTGTTATTATGAGAGAGAGAAAGGAATATTATTATTACTATTATTATTATTATTATTATTATTATTATAAATTTACCAAAATACACCAAGTAGGACAAAAGTAGTTTAGGAATAGAAATAGTGTTGAAAAAAAAAATTCATGTAATAGTAATTTGTTCATTTTAGTGCATAATAATGTTAAGGGGGAAACTGTCAGCCATATTCATTGATCTCCATTTGGGACATGTGCCCCTAAGACATAAGATTGTGGCTCTCAAAGTTGAGAAAGTTAGATGAGTCCTAATCCACCCTAATACCTGAGCATAGTTGGTGTTCCATTATTATTATTATTATTATCATTATTATTATTGTTATTGTTATTATTATTATGAGAGTGAGAAGGAATATTATTATTATCATCATTATTATTATTATTATTATTTTTATTATTATTTATTATTATTATTATTATTTTTATAGTTATTATTATTAAGAGAGTGAGAAAAGTCTTCAACATCTTGTGAAACAGTTCAGAGGAATAGGACTGAGTATGAATACAGGGGAAAGAAAGTATTGAACAAAAAATATCTATAACAATAAGTTATTTCTTATCTTTTAAAAATAGATATGTAAGAAGCTCTTCTTGTTCGTATACAGCATCAGAAATGGTACTTACAAGAACTTGAGGAGGCATTTCCTTCAAAATGGAATTAAACCTAGGTAAAAATAATAAGAATAATCGAAAGTAGAGTATTTAAAATTTTTAATGAAGGGTTCATGGGAACACTGGTCGCATTCCTTGTCATGCTCTTTCTGTGCAAGGCATTAAAGATGTGGTAGCATTTTTGGAGAACTATGCTGAAGACTACACCATATTACTACCTGGGAGGATACCTGGAGTGAGGGATTATGGGAAGGCCAAGCTATTGCCGTCCAGTGTGTCCCGACGCAAGGTTTACCGGCAGTATGCTGATGCTGGTAGGGAACATACTCTCTGTGAAAGTAATTTACAGGCAATATTGAAGAAATATTAGTTAGTTGTATACCAACACTTGATCCTTTTATTGACATTTCTGATGGTGGTGCATATGCTGGTTCATATCAATTTATTACTATTTTAACGTTATCATTTTGTTTAGCGTTTCTCCTACACAAAAAGTTAAAGTGTATATGCTGATAAGGACCTTAGTGTATAGATTGCTTCTTCTGTTATTGTTATCATTATTTCTTGATTTATTTGTTCATTAATTTTTTATAAATGTGTTACTGGCACTAGATTAAAGGTGGATCTGTATTTTAAGTGTTAAACTGCTTATGGTATTTGTTCATTGATTATTGTTTTATTAGAATTAATTTGTTTTAAGGTCCTACTTGTGCAAATAGAGTATCGAAGAGTAAAAGTAAAAGCGCATTCTCTATCTCAGGATTTAAATAAAGAAGTTGCCTTTTCTGTTAATGGTATAATGGATGCACATGTTTTAACATAATCAATTTAATTTTTTGAATGCACTTGTACAACTAGAGTTACAACTGGTACAAGTCAAATTATCATCTGTTTCTCTCTCTTTTAGTACAGTGAACATCTCATAATCAAGAAACAGTTGTTCTATGGACATTGCCAAATTCTTTAAAAGATGGTGTTAATGGTTGCTGAGTAAGTAATTTTCACATGCCCATGTCTCTGACTGTACATGAATGTAAAATGTATTTTGTCATTATGTCTCAAATAAACGCTTTATTTTAGATTCATTAAGGCATCAGATTCAATGAAGGACCATTAATAATATAGCATTGATATTGCCTGAGCACAGATGGCAATAAAGTTACCATTGCAATTACTGGCAATCATTACTTTTGTTATTAATAACCAGACATTGCATGATGTATCTACCTTTCATCTACCATGTATTTAAAATTTTTCATATTGTATGTTTACCATTCATATTTACCATTAGTTTTACTTTCATGTATGTACTTGTATTTTGCTATAAGCTTATTACAACATAAATATTGATAGATAACTACTAAATATGTATTAAGTTATATGTTAAAAATTATGGTTTATTATTTTTCTATGTAACTATCAGTTATCCTGAAATGAACCACAGAACTTACATGGTAGGTAAGTGTGTGTGCAAAAACAATTTTTACTGGAGGAGTACTTAACAAGCTGGAATAATGCTATTATGCTAGCTAGCATTATAGCATTATGGGAACTATAGAACATGCAAAATAGTTTTTAAATTTGACCTACTATACCTTCATGGTGATTGTTTCATAGCAATGGCAATTATATAAAATCAGTTTCATTAATCATAAGTCCTAATTCTATATAATTCTTTGCTGCATAGATAAGTTTTTAGTTGTCATATCTACACACCTTGTTCATTTATTTTTGTACTTGCATGTTACCATGTACTACATTGAACTATGTACTACATTAAATGAGCCTTCTTTTTCTCTCAATTTGTAGTAAATTCATGACAAGTAGAGTAGTAATAATTCTGAAGTAGGCTGAGGTATTTAATTTTTGTAATATATATGTAGTTATGATAATTTTGCACAAAATTTAAATGCAGTACATTCCATGTGTCAAAACTGCTTTTTAAGAACATTATTCTATGAGATTTTAATTCTATATTATGGTAATCATTATTTTGTAGTGCAGTTGGTATTATTTGTATGAAACAGTGCATTTTGTACTTTATGGATGCTTATTTATTAACAAAATGTGGCATGCACCATTGCTAATGTTGAGTTTTGCCTTGTGAGCATTTTTGCCTTAAAAGCATCACATTACCTTTTTTAGAGTGTCTACATGTAGATTAATGTTTATTAAACTTGAAGTTATGTGTGTGTACCTTAATAGGTCCGTAAAAACTCGGCTGAGAGTACTAATAATAGTACAAAGTTAACAGCTCTGCATTTTTTTGTTTTTATTTACTGATTGTTTTATGTTGTTTCTTTTAATGATCAATTTTTTATTATTCTCATTTTTAAAAGTAATATGTGACCATAATTGACAAAAGGGCCCTTATGGCGGATTTTAAAATTGATTGTTATAATGGAAAATATCAACCTGTGAGTGCTTTGTTAGACAATCATTGTTTCTAAAAGTTTCATGGTAACTTTTTGCATCCTGTGGAGTAATTTTATGATAAATGGAGCTCAGGAAGTTGGATTTCTTAGCCTAGAAAGACAAATTTCACTACCCGCCATAAGGTACCTTTTGTCAATTATGGTCACATATGATTATACAGATAAAACAGTATTAATGTTATAATTTTAATGATTAATCTGGCAAAACTAGTGACAGTAAAGATTTAATTGGAACAAGATATTGTTGCAAGTTAGAATAGTGAAATAGTGAATCACTACCGTCTTCAAAAGTCAGACCTCTCCACAATGACTTTGTCCCTTATATCAAAGGTTTGTTGCTTAACTCACAGGTGTATTCCTTTCTAAAAAGGAATAAAGTGTGCATTTGATCACAAAACTTATGGTTCTGGAAACTTCTTTGCTGAGGAAAAAGTGATCTCTGCTGCTTTTGCATTTAGATCAACAAACAAAGTCAATAAGCTAGCTACCATGTCAGTATAAAGCATTGTTGCTAAATTTGTGGCATTAGCTTGTACTTTAGAGAACCAGAGGCCGAGATCTATGCCAAGATAGAGGCTTTCCCTTCCGCGCGTACAGCTGAAAGAGGAGGAGCTTACAGAAAATCAAACAGGACTGACGGCCATCTTTATTTTATTGACATGGCACCCCCACCCCTTTTACCGCCAAAAGCCATGAATATACTCACAGAAGTCATGTGACTTCCGCATTAGCATGTAGGATGACGTCAGATTAAACTATATTCATAAGAAGATTAATGATATTCATAGTTAATGTAAGTATATTCATTTGTGCAATAACTATATTCATTGCTAAACATTAATGCTTTGACTTTCTTGAAATGGTACTTTTAAAATCACTACAAAATGAACAGAATTATTAATGATAACGAAACTCCATCAGGTAATAGAAAAAAGTAGTGTTATGACATGCAATCAATAAAATGATAAATTGCTGGTTGTTTATATGTTAAAATCCATGTCCGATAAAAGCCACTGTACACAAGGCAAATGAGAATATCAGCTTCAACTGCAACTGAATCTACAATGACAAAAGGGAAATAAATATTTGCTTAGTAAATGCAACAAGTAGGTTCATGAAGTAAAGAAAGTTATGCAGGAATTTCTTTTTTTATATTTAAAGTTCAATGATCTATAACTTTTATACAGTGCATGGTAAAAAATTATAAATAGCACAAGTTGTACAACTTTTTATGTCCTATAAAATGGCATCAATTAAAAAAATATTAAAATTTCATCCAAAAGTACCTTAAGATAGGTTGTATATTATTTCTGATTTTTGTCTTGGCTTTGGTGTCTTCAATTATAAAAGCTGTATAGACAAAAGTAAGTACATGTGTGTGTGTTATTGTAGCTTACCTTTCTTTATTACACTTTGTTGTTTGTTCTTTAAAGTTACCAGTACACATAGATGAATGACAGTCTAGTACATGGTCTGATACAAGCTACAAGGATGGAGGTACAATAGCAACTTGTATAGTAATGTCAATAATTCAACAAATATTGACAACACCCAGCAATCACCAACTATTTCTAATCTTCTTTTCAACTCAAACTCTCGATTCTCTGATGTAAGCTAATACTACTCTCTGTAACACTCCAATGTATGTATACAATTTACTAAATATATTTTGTTGGCAACTTGTCACTGGTAAACTGATTAGAGCAGAGTGTGGTTCAGTCGCATTACAAACACGATTGGAATGGGTGCTAACTGGCCCGATTTCGTCAATTGAGCAGTATAAAAGTGCTACTATGACAACATTTGCATTGCAGACGAGTGCAAACAATAATAAAAAGGAACTGGTGAGACGATTGAGGCTATTTTGAGACTTAAAATCATTGGGAGTCTTGGATCAGAAGAGCTCACTCTATGAGCAGTATAAACGAAATATAGTATTAAGAGATGGCAGATACGAAGTACATTTACTGTGGAGAAGTCCATTGCAGGACATTTCGTATAATTATCAATTGTGACCATAATTGATAAAAGGTACCTTATGGCGGATTTTTTAAATTCATCATTATAATTAAAAATATCAACCTCTGAGTGCTCTGTTAGACAAGTACTGCCTCTAAAAGTGACAATAACTTTTTGCATTCTCTGGGGTAGTTTCATGACAAATAGAGCTCAGAAAGTTGGATTTTTATTGCTACAAAGACAAATTTTACTACCCGCCATAAGGTACCTTTAGTCAATTATGGTCACAGTTGTGTCTTAGATAACTAAGGAGTCAACTAAGGTTAGAATGAGATCCAAGACAGCTCAGAGAATGTGATGACATTATCCAAGGTCTATTGACAAATAGGATTATGAAGCTGGTACCAGAGCCAGAGATAGAAGGTCATAATAAAATACACTACTTGTCTCACCATGCTGTCATACAACAAGGCAATGAGACTACTGAAATCTGTATTGTTTATGTTGCATCTGCTACATCAAATGGAGCTTCCCTGAATGAGTGTTTACACATTGGACCAAAATTGAATCAGCAAATTTTGGAGATACTTCTTAGATTCAGATTTTATAGAATTGCTTTGATAGCACACATTGAGAAGGTATTCCGTATGGTGTCAATTGATTCCAAGGATAGGGATGTATTGCGTCTTATTTGGTATGATTAGATCAATAACAAAGAGCCTGAAATGAAGGTATTTAGGTTTAGAAGAGTAATAATTGGTGCGGCATCTAGCCCTGTTTTGCTAAATGCTACTGTACCTAATCATATGGAAGGCTGTGAGGAACTATATCCCTCTACAGTAGCTGAACTGATGCGCTCAATGTATGTTGATGACATGGTATGTTGTGCCAATACTGAGAGTGAGGCATATACTTCGTATTTAGAGTTTAAGGACATGCTTGCCAGAGGTGGATTTAATCTGCATAAATTTATTACTAATAATGTTAACCTTCTAAATAAAATTCATGAGAGAAAGAGACTCCCACAGGTACCAGTAACTGAATGCAAGGTACTTGGGACTCAGTGAAAGGTTAAACCTGAAAGTCTAGTATTTGATGTCTCAGAAGTTGTTGCTAACGTAGACGTGTGCTCGCCAACAAAGAGGTCAGTGGTAGGAGTAGCTAGCCGGTTTTATGACCCTATCGGTATTTGCCAGTCATCATCGTACTTATGACCTTTTTACAAGAATTCACTAAGTCTGGAATGAACTTGGATGAGCTGTTGACTGATTTATTATTGGAGAGGTGGAAGATACTAATAAAATGTCTGCAGAATAGCCAACCCACTACTGTTCCTACATTTTATTTGTCACTTGAGTGAGTCTGATTTGTATTACTTATGTGGCTTTTGTGATGCCTCCAGCACTGCTCATGCTGCTGTTGCTTATTTTGTCATTAATCATGGAGGAGTGCATCCAGCTAAATTTGTTTCTTCTGAGACTCAAGTGGCACCTATTAATGCACAGACAATTCCACGACTTAAATTAATTGAAGCTCTT